GGCCATAACAAAATACAATGAATTAAACAGATCACTGCTCTTCTCAGGCGTTTCCCAGCTGTTGTAGTTCTCGAAAGGCGGTCGTCAGTGGTGAGTTGAGCTGCGAATAGAAGTAGTTGAGCAGTGAATAGTTGGAGAGAGTAGAGCGGCGTGGCAGGTTGGCGACTAGTAGGGCGATCGGTGAAATTTCCTCTTCTTGAAATGGGGTTGGTGTCCTCCATATCCCTTAGAGGGACACATGAGAGAGTTGTGAGGGAGGTGGCATATGCCACATTCGAGTTCTTCTTTATAGGTCGAGAATTTTCAGTAGAGTCTGGAGACTTTTTGCGCTAAACGCAATCGCTTTCTTATTAAAGATCAGCGACATTCCAATCCTTCTGGGGTTTAGGGCAATTTGGAGCCCAAGGTCTTCTTTGTCAACCTTCCGTGCTGCTGCTGTTGCAGGGCACTTTGTCGGCTCTCTGTTTGGCCGATGCACCATAATATGCCAGTTAGTGGCAGTTGTTGCTTGGATGAAGACAACTCACGAAGAAATGCTTTATTCGAATGAGAAGCCAAATAATTACGGCCCACCGACCCGTACCCGCCCCGCTTTACTACGGGGGTGAGGAATACGGTAGGTTGGTGATAACCCGAACATAGACTGAGTCTGCGAGCGCTTATTGGCGGATGAAAATTCCGGATAAGTTTGTTAGTTCTCGGAGAAGAGGTGGTTTTAGCCATGCATTTACAGCAGTTGTTCAGCTTTGATGCAAATACTGTAACTTTTACAAGCGTGGTCTATTCATTGGCCTTGTTTATCCCTTTCATGCTACATGACCTCGGTATTTTCGGTACGAAGTTTACGACTTGAAGCAGCCACACTGGCGTTGCGTGGGTCATTAGCGCCTACTATTTTGGAGCAATTTCAGAAAGAATAGAAAGTAAATGTGATATTTATTTGAACCAAGCTAACTGAGCGAAGAAAGGAATTGAACGTTGTAATTCTTCTTTCGAAAGTCCTTCTAGTCCTATCTGACCAAACTTCTTCAAGATCTTATTTCTTCCTATCTATATCGCTGCTTTCGGGCAAATTAGACAATGGGTGTATTGGCACGTATCGAGACTCACGTAACAATCTTTCCCACGAATTTTGGCGACGCTGCGCTCTGACTTGCCTTTCT